GAATCATGGAGTTGTTTTTTTTTTTTAAATGAAGTTAGTTATTTATGTGCCCTTTTGGCCTTAAAGCAACAGTTGGTAGAAAGCTAGTTAGCTGGACACACCAGAGTGGGAGAGATCATCTCACTAACAAAGCAAGTTGTGTTAGAGATTAAGCTCCATATATACACACCATTTAATCCATCCCTTTTGCTTCTCCTGTCTCTGTTCTTTCCCTCTGAAAAAATCACCCTCTTCCAAACTCTTGACCTACCAAGTATGGCTCTTTGACTTCTACTTTGTTCAAACATGAGCTAAACTAGTGCTGGCAACCTCGCAAAATGAGTCGAGTCAGAAAGAGAAGGAAAGAGGGAAAGGAAATGAGAAGACTGAAAACCAGCCAGGCTGGACGTCAGGCTTCCTGCAGCTTGCACTCATCACTGTACAAGCAGATGCCCTCCCTCAGGGACAGATGTTGACCTTTGACCCCTGATCTCTTGTCAAGAGCCAAGAGTGTTTTTCTACACTGGTAGATAAGCGCTGTGTAACTATATCACTATTTCTCATCTCATCACTCTCTTGTGTCCGCTCTCCTCCCTTCCACACACACACACACACGCTCTGTTTTTGTTACGTAACTGTCTCCCAGTAGAGTGGAGCATGGTGCAGTCACTGAGGGCGACCGGAGGGTTAAAAGAAGCTGTTGTCTCGCGTGCACAAGAGTAAACTTCAATGGAAACAAAGGAACCAGGCAATGACACACAGACACACACGTGTTCCAGACACTTCCAGCTTTAGCGGTGGACTGAGAAATGGGTTTGTCAGCGTTTTGTGCAGCACTATGTATGATTCTTATCTAATCAAATATACACGCAGTGGTTATTACCACAATACAGTACATACATTGTTGAGAAGTATGTCTCTATAGGACGAAGTGATTCTCGTTTAAAGGGAAAATAGGCCACTTAATGTGCACGGTTAACAGGGTTGAAGGTAAATGCAGTGGAATAATAAATGAATTCCTCCTGAGTTCTCCCGCTCACGGACCAAGCTTAGTTAGCTGCTGGGGGCTAATCAGAGTTAAACAACGTTACCAAGCAAATGAGTGCCTGCAGTTCCACGCTTTTTTTTTCACACGCTCCAAGCTGAAATAGCCTGTATTTCATCGACACCGCACGAGTCAAATGACAGAGCTGGTGCCAGAAGAAGTTTCTCAATCAATATAGCCCGCACTGAGGAATTTCTTGCTTCAACTGACCACCTTTACCATCAGGACTGATCGGACAGCCCTTTAACATGCTGCTCAGGATCAATGAATTTGCCATTTGTTTGTTTGGAT